ATTTATGGTCAGCCTAAAAAGTTGCAAGGGCAGCAAGTTTTGACTGCAGGAGGAGGTGGGAAACCAAGTGAAGTGGTCCAGAGAAAAGCTGAGCTTAAAATTGGTCCTGTGCCAGAGCAGCCTTGTGCAGGTGCTTGTTGCTGTCCCTGAGTGTCCCATTGCAGTGGATATTTCCAAGGGCTGCCTTGTGCTGGGGAACACTGAGGGCAGTTCCCTTTCCCTGGGCACGTTTCCCCCCCTCGAGGGTGGCTGCACAGTCCCACCCTCTGCCCTGGGAGTGTGGCAGAACACCTGGAGCCACTGTCCTTGTCAGAGAGGGGACAAGGGATGGTTGGATGGGTGAGGGAGTGGTTCAGGGAGTACAAGCACCATTAGAGTGAGTAGTGCAGCACGTGGAAAGAAAGGGGGGGAGTTAATCCAGACAGAATTCAAGCACCTGCCCAACCTGTGATATTTTTAGGAACTCAGTGGCGTTGTGGTCCCCAGGAGGTGTTGCCCAGGACTAGGCAAGTGACTTCAGGCTTTGTCACCCCCAGAGCAAGGTGGAAGCCAGGCAGTTTATTGGTTTGTTTGGCTTTTGGTGACCAGAAGGTCCTCCTTTGGGACCAATCCTTGGCCCGTGCCATAAAGTCCCAGGACAGAAGTGTGAGTTTGAGTGGGAAATGAGCAGCCAGGAGGGTTTGAAACAGCTCAGGGAGCAATTCAACAGGCTCCGGACCTGTGGCCAATACGAGCCAGAGAGGGGGAACTAAAGGTTCCTGCCAGTGCTAATGATGCCCCTTGGAGCCTCTGGCAGAAGTAGGGTAATGTAAGGGGGGAACTGTTGAATGAGATGATCAATGGAGCATAGAGGTGTGAGAAAGAAATCCTATTAGGATGTGAAACCGGCTGGAGTATGGTACAATGGAACTTGATGGCACAAGCTAATTGTAAGGTCCATTGTGCTTTTCAGCAAGTCAGCCTGATCTCCCGTTCTGAGAGCTGAGTTCTTCCTTGGTTCTGCTACACCTTGCCAGATAGATACCTCTGCCCTTGAAACACAAGGGTAGAGGTCATCCATAGGGGTGAGAAAGATGCTGGTGAGAGGAAGATGATGTGGGCAGGGGTGGCTGGCCCCTTGCCCTACAAGTAGGGCAGGCCCAGACTGTTGCCATCAGGCAATGATCAGGCGGTGTTTGGCTGCCATTCAGGCCTCCCCTTACACTGCGTCCTGGCCCTACGTGGTGTAATGTGGAGCTGATAAAAATGGGCTGTCAGGACTGCTGAGCTGAGCGATCCTCATCCTGCCACCGAGCCTGTGTTGCTCCGCGGGGACGCCCGCTAAGGGATGGGCACCGACCAGCTGCTGCAGATCCTGACAGCCCTGGCCTGTCTGTGTGGGTAGGCAGAGTTTAGTGATGAGAGGGAAGACTTTAAATATCCTTTAGTGTTCCTTTAATACCCTTTATTTAGGACTCATAATATTTTCCCTTTAATTTCCCCTTTTACTAACCAAATAGCGTGTTAATAGTTACCCATAATATTGTGTGAAGATCCTTTTTGGTATCCCTTTGACTCCCTTTTTACTAGTTATTATTATAGTGTATTGAATGCTGTTCTTAGTATTTGTTTTAATGCCACATGACAAGGTAGTTCATTTGTATCCTTTTTGAACTTTTGATTCTCTTTGCTAAGTTTTATTCTTCTTCTTCTCACTGCAATAAAGATATTTTGTGTGTTTGAATGTTTGTGGCACTTGTCTTTATTCCGGGCATGTATCCCAACGAACTGTTCCAGGTAGGAAGGAAGTGCCCTTAGGATTTGGGAATAGGAAGTTACTGGAAGCCAGCCCAAGATCGACCCTGTTGGAGAAGTGGCTCTGAGTACGTTATTGGGCTTTAGTGGGAACAACAAATGATAAGAGGGCCTGAAGTCCCCCTAAGGCCTTGGGTCAAAAGCTCCTCCAGGGTGCACAGGCCAGGCCATGCTCAGGAAGGCAGCCCCATGAAATGGAGATGGTGTATCCGAGCCAGAGCCAGAGCAGGGGTCGGGGCAGGAGCGAGGCCTCGTGAGGGAGTTGCCAACGGCCCTGTGGTTTAAGCAACAGGTGTAGATCCCCTGGACAGTGAGCACAAATCACTGGGGCAATGGGGCAAAGCCCCAAAGCAAGTGCTGGGAGAAGAGAGGGAGCATGCATGGCTCACTGCTGGGTCAGCCAAATCTATCAGGGGGAGGCACTTTTGGAAAGCAGGAGCAGATAACCCGTGCCAGAGTCACGACGGGGGGAGGCAAAAGTAGTCCATGCCATAGTGTGTATATTGTAATACAAAGAAATAAGGCACAGAATGACTTAATGGGTACCAATGAACTGATCTGGAGGACTGTATTCCCATCCTGGATTGCAAAAATTAACTGGCTGTTGTCTCCTGAATTGCTGCAGTGCACCGACTGATATCGTGCTGGAAAAATAACACACTTCAATGTAAGTAAACCAGGGATTTTTGTATGTAAGTGCAAATTATTGCCCTGCAAATTTGAAATAAGACTTGACTTGATCACCAAATGCAAACAGTAACTCTAGGGGTCAATTAGTGAGCTTTGGGCATCAGGTTAGAACAGCTCACTGCTCCCCACTGGTGGGACATATTTACAGGATTCTCACCACCTGCTACAAAGTTTTGGAACACTTTAATCCACCCACTAATCCCAGTAATTATTGTACTGACTTTATGAACAACAGAGTTGCTGTCTCTGGGATCAATGCCAGGAAGGTGCTTCTCCCGTGTCTCTGCCCTGCCCAGGGCTCAAAGGACCAAAGGAAAGGATGAGAAGTTGGCTGCGAATTGAGCCCCGGGGCTGCTGCCCCTGAGGAGCAGGGTAAGGGCTGTGTGTGCTCAGGGGCCCTGGCTAAAGGCTGCAGGTGCTGTGAGTGTGTGCTGGGCCAAGGCAGCCAAGGTGTGTGCAGCTGTTCCGTGCCCTCTCCCCTTGGCCCCGCCGGGGCGCCTGCCCAGCGCTCCAGGGGTGGCCAACGGGGAGCTCAGGCCAACCTGCCCGTGCCCACGGCCCCACAGTGCCAGGCCTGGCCTAAAGCCGGCTTGGTTGGGCAGAGCCTGGCCAGCGGGATCCCCTTGGAGCCGCCCCGCAGCCTCCCCGGGGGTGGAGGCACCCGCAGGAATTGTCCCAGTGCTGGAGCCTGCGGGATCGGCTGCCCCGGGGCTGCCGTGTGGGCTGGGGGGGAGCGGGAGGGGCCGTGGGGGAGGGATTTCTGCTGAGCCACAGTTCTGTCTCTGGGGCAGTCAGGATGGGATGCCTTGCTCCTTTCCTTTTGTATCCCCGAAATCTGTATCCCATGTGTTGGATTGGGTTTGTTTAAGCTGTTCCTATTCTTCCATGACTGGTGGGAAGTTGTTTCCTGGAGTGCCCTGCCTGTCAGCAAAACACCAGGCCCAAAGGATCCTGCAGGTGCAGCCCTGGAAGAGTCAGGAATACTCAAAAATGCACCAGTTCTCAGGAAGTACAAGTTTGTAAAACATTTATGGAGCTAAAATTCCACAGCCTTGAGCTGTTGGGTCCCAAATAATATTGGAGGGAGAGGCAGAAAATGCCACTGCTGCTGGGGCTGAACTGTCTGCAGTGATGGGGCAGGACTTGGCCCTGATGCCTGAGTGCATCTTTAGGATGGATGCCAACTGTCAGCCCCTGGCTCCATAACTTGAGTAGAGGGTGTTCCTGCAAGCCCAGCTGCTGTGGTGGTGGTGCTGTGGGCACCTCCTGCCCTGGCCTGCTGTGACTGTGTTTGTGTTGCAGCTCAATAAAGTCCCTTTCAGTGGTGATTGTGTCATTTTGTGTCAGTTCCTTTCCCCTGCCCCAGTGGCTGCATCACTGGCTTGTGCCTAAATGAGCTCTTCCCCTGCAGCAGTTCCCTGCTGCTCTCAGAGAGGGTGGAGCTGAGGCCCCTGAGCAAAGGGAAAAAGGATCCATCCAAGGCAGGCCCGTGCTCCCCCCCTGCATTCCTCCAGCCTCCCGTGTTTCCAGTTCCCCTCCCTGCTGGACACACAGCCTGTTCCCAAACAACCCCTGTTCCTGTTCTCTCTCTGTGTCTCCCCTCACAACTCCCCTCCTATGATCTCCAGCTGCCCAGGCCCCTGGTTTTGAGGGGCATTCCTGGGCTGCTGCCCCCCCATTCCTTAGAACTGAAGTGCCAAGAGCCCCAAGTGCAGAGAGGTCTGCAGGGAATCAGTGCCAAGAGCTGCCCATGCCTGCCTGTGATCCTGCAGTTCTCCTTCCCTGTTCTCTCCTGGGCTGGAGAGACCTGCCTGCCCCGGGTTTATTGGAGCAGAGGGATGTGATTACATTTGTCCAGAAGGTGTACATGTCACAGACACTTGTTTTCTGACAGGCAGTGCAATTTCCCTTCTGCCTTTCCCAAGTTTTCCCAAGTGCTGCCCAGCCCGGGGATCCGTGTGCTGGGACAGTGACTGGCAGGAGGAAGGGGAGCCTTGGCCTCACCTGCCCAGCTCAGGTGGGTGGCACAGAATGGGGGTGGGCTGGCAAGGCATGAACACATTTCTGAGTTCTGGAGTGCCATGAGACCTTTTCCTATCAGGTTTCTTTCCCCGATTTCCTGGAGTCCATCATCCCAAATGTCTCTTCCTTTGTCCAAAGCCCAATGGCAGAGGATTGACTGAGTCCCAAGGGAGGTTTGGAATGAAAAGGGTTCTGTTCAAATGGGACAAGGAATGCAGTAAGAAAGATGAGCCTCCTTTTAATGCCTGAAACAGATAGGAATGAAAATGCTGGAAAAGGTCTCATTTATTTGTTGTCCCCCCTGGATTTTTCATGACTAAAACTCTCTAGTGAGCAACTGAACAGAAGAGTGAAGGGCAGGAGCCTTTGACTTGCCCAGCGCCCTTAATTGCCTTGTTCTCCTCTCTTCCAGGCCAGGCCAAAGCCCTGATCCAGCCCAGCTCTGCCAAGTGCCCTGGGCTGGGAGCAGCCAAAGGCAAGAGGCTGCAGCCCCGCCGGCCGGGCTGGGGGCTCCTGGTGCTGCCCGTGGGGTGGGGTAAGTCAGAGGGACACCTTTCTCTCCTCCTGCTGTTGGCATTTGCTCCCTGGGCACTGGATGTGTAAGGAAGGACGGAGTAGCAGGGAAGGGGAGTGTTTCCAGACTGTCTGAATGTTGTCCCCGGGTTTGGGATGGAGCAGCCATGGGGGTGGTTGGGTTTGGCCTGGGCTGGTCAGGATCAGCCATAAAGGACACACCAGACCCCTGAACCCACACTGGACATGTCCAGCCCCTCAAGTCATTAATTTTCAATAGAGGACAAAGTATTGGTACTTGCTTCTGATCTGTGGAGAATTTCCTTTGGAATGATCAACCAGAGAGTGTATCAGTGCAAAGCATCTCTTTGGGTCTTCTGTTTGTTTGTTTGTTTGTTTGTAATTTCCTCTCTGGCTTCAATGAGTTTGGTGTGCTCCTGTTAAGGAAGCAGCCTGTTTTTATCTTGAAATTTGGGGTGGTTTGGTTTGTTTAGGGTTTTTTCCCCCCACTGACTCAGGCCTTCCGTGCATAGTCCATGTTGTCCTACAGGACTGCTTTGGTTCTGGGTCAGAGAGAGAGAAGGGAAGTGGCTTTTCCTCATCTGGAATGTTTCCAAGCAGAAGTGGGACATTGTCTTGCCCCTCCCCAAAGCACTGCAGCACCTGGGAGTAGCTCAGGGCTGGTCCAGTTCTCTGAGACAGAACCATGGGGGAGAGGTTTAAGTATTAATCACATCTCTGGTGTCCCTTGGTTGCAAAGATTGGGTCCTACAGTCCCAGGGTGTTAAGGAAAACAAGGAACTCCTGTTCTTCCTGGCAAACCTTCTGTTATTGCTTGTGCAGTGTTTGGGTTCTGTTGTCTGAGTTCCTGTCCAGGATCTTTCGAAGAGAACCTGTTAGAAATTTAGAGGTAGGATTAGAATTTGGGTCTGTTCCCTACCAAACTCCCCCCAAATCCTGATGGACTGGAGGGATGAGTGCTCTCAGCCCAGGGTATTTCTTAATATTGTGGCTTTCCCTCAGCTGTGGGTGAGGAATTGTGCAAGCAAGGCCTGTGTGCCCGTGGGTGTCTCCCGTGTGTGTCCGTGGGGCAGGGCTGGGACAAGGACTCGTGCAGGGACCCAGCTGGCACTGGAGCTGCTGCCATCCTGAGCCACTGCCAAGGGCTGGGGAGAGACCATCTGGGAGGCTGTTCCCAGGGTTCCATTGGGAGCTGGATCTCCCTCCAGCTGCAGCAGCCAGGGGAGGGTTCTTCCTTGTGCAGCCCAGTGGCTTCTGCTCAGGCTGGCCCAGAGTGGGGCTGGGGCAGGTTCTCCAGGGAACTGGAGCCAGCCCTGAACGGGGCTCTGGAGAGCAGGAGCTGCAGGGACTGAGGTTTGCAAAGCTGGGCTGAAGTTTGTCAAAGCAGCAGAACATTCTCATTCCTGTGGGTCTGTGGAGTCCGTGTTGGTGCCCAGGAGAACTGGGTCAGACTGGGCTTTGTGCTCCGAGAGCTGCCCCCCTAAATGTGGCAGGCTGTGTGTGCTGGCAAGGAAGTGCTGTCCCAGAGGCTGATGGTTTCTGTCTCCAGGTGTGCCCAGGACACTGCCAATGCCCAGGGATCTGCTCTGGGTCCAGACTGTCCGTGCTGGAGGGCCCTGGTGGCTGCAGTCCCTGAGCCCGCAGAGACAGAGAGAGCCCCGGCCCGAGGGGCCTTTGGCCCCTTGTCCTGAATTTGGGGTGAGCCTGGGAGCGTGTGGAGGGTGAGAATGAGGGCTGTGCTTCCAATGCATCATCCCTGGGAAGATCCTGTTGTTCCAGAGCGCTGGGGACAGTTTGGGCTTGGCAGCTTCAGAGCTGGGTTGGAGCAGCCCCTGGAAAGAATCAGGAGAGTGGAGTTTTGTCCCAGTGCTGCTTTCACGCCCCACTGGACAGTCTGGGCTTTGTGTTTGAGGTTGTCCTGTATTTGCTCTGCAGATAAGGGGCCCTTCCCAATTCAGCCCAGCAGATTCCAAGGGCTCTGACAGGAATATTTGTTCTTTCCTTCCCTTTGGGAGAACTTCATCTCCAAACTGCCATGAGCAATTCCTTAATTTCTGCTGGAGAAAACCAAGTGTCAGAGGCAGTTTCCAAGGAAGCCAGAAGTGTCTTTGGGGCAGAGAGTGCTGCCAGCTGCGTGTGCCTGTCCCCAGCCTGGCACTGCCCACAGGGACACACTGGGCACAGACCATGAGAGGGAACAAACCCACTGCCTGCCAGAGGGTTTGTCCTGGGCCAGTCAGGCCTTGGGCAGAAATTGGACTGGGCAACTCCATCAGCTGCTCTTCCCTCCCCCACAAAGCCCCATCCCCTGGGCATTAATGACGTGCCCTGTGCCCAGCGCTCCCTGTTCACCCAACTGAAACCAGAGCAAGGCTTGCTTTGCTTGGAACGACTTATAGTAACTTTAAAACAAAATAAATCACTTTTTTTGTTCTTTTTTTTCCTTTTAGATGCTGGAATTGCCTCTCTGGGTGTGTGCTGAGCTCTGGCTGCAGGGGACTGTCAGGCCTTGGTGGCTGTGAGTTCCTGTTCTTCTCCCTGGGAAACTGGAAAGAGTTATTCCTTGGATTGCAGAAATGTTTTCTGAAGCCTGTCCCCTTCTTTGTGCCTTTTGCTGACAGACCTTCTCTTTCTGCCTTTGCATGTACAGCTGTTCCCTGCTGTCCATTCCCTGGCCTGAATTCCTTGCAGCTCCCAGCTGGGGAAACCTGGGATAACATGGCAGGGACAGAGGTGACATTTGTAGCTGCCAACTTGGGGTAATTTCGAGGGGCCCCAGCAACTGTTTGTGTAGGAAAAGGTGAGGTGCTGCAGAGGGGAGGGAGGTGGCATTTTGGAGGGGTCCCACTGAGGGGGGAGTGGAGAGCCTGGGGCTGGAGTGTGAGTTATTAAACAGGGAAGAAGAGAAGGATGCTTGGGAGGGAAACACTCAGGGAATGTGTAGGGATGGAATGGAAATTTGGGGCGTCAGGAAGAGAAAATGGGTGATGTAGATGAAGGGAAATGTTGGGTGTAAGAGTTGATCTCATCTGTAGAGAACAGAATGACCATTTAGAGATAAAGTGAGGCAGTCAGTGGTGAGCAGGTAGGGAAAATTTCTGTTGCTAAAATCAGAGATGATGTGGAGCAGAGAGGATGTACCTCCTGATGGACACTGAGGCAGTCAACAGTGGGCAGGAAAGGAAACCTTTGGGGGTAAAACTTGAGGTAACATCCAGGGCAGAGAATGAATATTTTGAAGGATAAATGAGGTACTCAGTGGTGGACAGCTGGGGAGTGTTTTAGGGTAAACTTGGGGTAGCCCACAGGGTAGAGAATGAACATGTATTTGTACAGAGGAGCTGATTACATGTAGGTAGGTAAGGAGAATTTTGGGAGTAAAATCCGGGCAATCTGTAGCAGAGAGAATGAATACCTCGGGGTAAAGTGAGGCAGTCAGTGTTGGGCAGGGAGGGAAAATTTGTGTTTGTCAAATTTGAGGTCACGTGGAGCAGAGAATGTACATCCTGAGGTGAACTGGGGTAATCATTTGTGGACTCGTAGGGAAAATTGGGGGGGGGAAATATCTGAGGTAATCTGCATGGTAGAGGATGAATATTGAGAGATGAACAGGAGGTACTCAGTGGTGGACTTGTAGGGAAAATTGTGGGGGTCAAATCTGTGGCAATGTGCAGCAGAGAGAAGGAACATTTTGGAATAAAGTGAGGCAGTCAGTAGGGGAGAGGTAGGGAAATTTCTGAGTGTGAACCTTGAGCAAAACTGCAGAGCAGAGAATGAATATTTGGAGGTCCAAAAGAGGTAATCAGGAGTGTGCAGTAGGGAAGACTCTGGGGAGAGAATGACTCTTTTATGTTCAAAAAGAGGTAATCAGGAGTGGGCTGAAAGGGGAAAGTTTGGGGGTTAAGAAGGAGGTTGATTCTCTGCAGGGCAGGGAATGAACACACTGAGGTAAGCTGAGGTGATGAGTGGTGAGAGACAGAGAAAACTGTGGGTGTTAAAGTTCAGGTAATCTGCTGGGAAGAGAAGGAACCTGTTGAGGTAAAGATGAGGCACTCGGTGGCAGACAGGTGGGGAGAGGTTTGAGATAAGCCTGAGGTGTCTGTGGGGTGCAGAATGACCCTCTGTAGGTACAAAGGAGCTGGTCAGACGTGGACAGGTAAGGCAGATGTTGGGAGTAAAATGTGGGGCAATGTGTCCCAGAGAGAATGAATCTTTTGGGGTAAGGTGAGGCAGTCAGTAGTGGTCAGGGAGGGAAATCTTTGTTTGTCAAACCTGAGGTAATGTGCAGCAGAGAGAATGCACCTCCTGGGGTAAACTGGGGCAAACAGTAGTGGACAGGTAAGGAGGTTTTGGGGGAAACTTTGAGGTAATCTCTGTGGCAGAGGATGAATGTTTGAAGGTAAAAATGAAGTAATAAGTAGTTTTCAGGCAGGGAAAACTCTGAGGATAAGTCTGGATATCACCTAGAGGAGAAAAGGAGCCTTTTGAGGTGCAGTGAGGCAGTCAGTGGTGGGCAGGCAAGGAAAATTTGTGTTTGTAAAATCAGAGGTCATGTGGAGGAGAGAGAATGCACCTCCTGGGCTAAACTGGGGTAAACCTTGCGGACCTGCAGGGAAAATGTGGGGGGTAAAACTTGTGGGAATCTGCAGGGCAGAGAGTGAATCTTCTGAGGTGAAAATGAGTTCCTGGGTGGTGGAGAGGTGGGGAAAGTGTTGAGAGTAAACTGGAGGTGGTGTGCTGGGTAGAGAATGAACATCTTGATGTAGAAGTGAGTTGCTGAGATGTGGAGAGGTGGGGAAAATGCAGTGGGTGCAGTGTGAGGTCACCTGTAGCAGAGAGGATGTACCTCCTGCTGGACACTGAGGCAGTCAGGGGTGGGCAGGAGGGGAAACCTTTGGGGGTAAAACCTGAGGAAACGTCCAGGGCAGAGACTGAATATTTTGAAGGTTAAAACTTTGGGGGTTTTGAACGAGGTTATCTCCAGGGGTGAGAAAGGACATCAGGTCAACTGAGGTAATCAGTGGTGGCCAGGTGGGGACATATAGGGCAGAAATCTTTGAGGCAATCTCCAGGGTCCAGAATGAATCCTGAGAGGTGCAGAGGAGGCAATCAGGAGTGGACACCACAGCAGGCCAGGGAAGGTTCTGGGGGTAAAATGTGTGACAGTGTCTGGCAGAGAGAATGAACATTTTGGGATAAACTAAGGCAGTCATCAGTGGACAGGTAAGCCTTGAGAAACTCTCCAGGGTGGAGAATGAAAATATGGAGGTCAAAAGGAGGTAGTCAGTGGTGAGCAGGTGGGGAAAGTTTTAGAGTAAACTTGAGGTGATCTATAGGGTAGAGCAGGAACATATTTAGGTATACATGAGGTGATCAGCTGTGGAGAGGTGGGGAAAATTGTGGGGGTCAAATCTGTGGCAATGTGCAGCAGAGAAGGAATATTTTGGAACAAAGTGAGGCAGTCAGTAGGGGAGAGGTAGAGGAATTTCTGAGGGTGAAACTTGAGCAAATCTGCAGGGCACAGAATGAATATTTGGAGGTCCAAAAAGAGGTAATCAGGAGTGTGCAGGTAGGGAAGACTCTGGGGGTTAAAAAGGAGGTAATCTCTAGGGGAGAGAATGACTCTTTTGTGTTCAAGGAGAGGTAATCAGGAGTGGGCTGGAAGGGGAAAGTTTGGGGGTTAAAAAGGAGGTTCATTCTCTGCAGGGCAGGGAATGAACCCATTGAGGTAAGCTGAGGTGATGAGTGGTGAGAGACACAGACAATTGTGGGTGTTAAAGTTCAGGTAACCTGCTGGGAAGAGAAGGAATGTGTTGAGGTGACCTGAGGGTCTCTGCAGTGGCCAAGCAGGGAAATGTTGGGCTGAGCCCTGAGTTGCTCCCGTGTGGGGCGGCTGCAGCGAGGCCGAGCCCTGGCCCTGATTTGCCAGCCATGGGCAGGGGGCTCTGTGCCAGCCGGGGGAGCAGCGGGGCCCCCGTGGCAGAGAGGGCAGGGGGGCTGTGGAGCTGCCCCGGGGGGAGGGGGGGGGCCTTTCCTGGGCTGCCTCCAGCCCCCCTCGATCCCTGGGGCTGCGCTGCCCCCCAAGGCTGTTTGGGGCAGAGAGTGCTGCCAGCTGCGTGTGCCTGCCCCAGCCTGGCACTGCCCACAGGGACACACTGGGCACAGACCATTGGCCCAAGTTGTGTTTGCACCAGCTGGGGCCAGAGGTGCCAGGCAATCCAAAGCAAACCCTGCTCAGCCTCCAAATCCCGGGGGAAGTTCTCCAAGCTGCTCATTGAGGGACTAAAGATACATTGAAATGGAACCGAGACACTCCTAAGTTTCCTGGGAATCCCAGTATTGCTGTCCTAGAATTTTTAACAGTTTTTTTAAGCTTTTTATGACAAAAATTACTTTCTTCCTTTGATTGAGTCCCTCAGTAGGATTTGGGATTTCTTTGGATTCTGAATCCCTCCCAGTGGCCCTGACACTGGTCAGGAGCTGGCAGGACAAACAGAGTCAGAGCTCCTGGCAGGCACAGGGGCTTTCCCCCAGAGTGGATCCAACTGCTGCCCCCCAGCCTGGCCAGGCGGGATCTGCTTTGGCTCCCGGCTTCTGCCAGAGACAGAACGTGTTCCCTTGATTGGAATGAGGATCCCGTAGCTTCATCTCCTGGAGGTTCCCTGGGCAGCTGATCCACTCTGCCCCATGTCCTGCTCTCCGTTCCTGCCCAGCCAGAGCCATCTGTGCCAAGGGCACGAGCACTCCCAGCCTGGATAGGGAATGGGGGACTGGCTTGTGCACAATTCACCTAGAAAGTCAAACGAGGGGATTGTTGGGCAGCGGCTTTGGCCGACACGGCAGCACAAAGATTGTTCTCTGCAGGGGGCCCAGGTTTGGGTTCCGGTCTCAGCTTTGCAGGTTTGGATGAATTCTACCTACAGCCCGCAATTCCATGCCGAATTCCTGCTGCAACAGCCTCCCAGTGCCTCCTGGAGCCCGGATGTTCCCCCGCAGAGCTGCTGCTCTAACGCCAGGTTTGCCAGGAAGCAGCCACAGTTCCAGGTTTGCTCAGCGGGATCGGGACAAGGACAGGTTGATATTCCACAGACTTTGCTGTTTGTAACCCTCCTCCCCCAGCCCCGCTGGTGTCCCTGGGGGGACTTGAGCGAGTTCGCTGGAATTCGGCCGCTTTTCCGCCCCGGGCCGGGCTCCAGGGGATGGGTTCGCCCAGGAGAAGGCGGGGGCCGGACGCGCTCCCGGCCCGGGGCGAGGCAGCCCCTGAGCACGGGCGAGGACGTCTCTCCGGCCGGGAAGCCGCTGTCCCTTCGGAGCCTCGGGAGCGGCCCCGGGGAATTCTTTTCCCCGAGGAAAGGGATGCACAGCCCTGCCTTCAGGGCACCTCGGCTCTGACCCACCTGTTCCAGCTGTCCACGGGCTCTGCAGGTGCGGTTGGGTCCCCGAAAAACTGCGAATTGCCTCCGAGCCCGACTTTCTCCGAGCATCCCCTTTTCTTTTCAGGCATCTCCGAGGGCTCTGGCTCGGGCTTTAGTGCCGCTGAGGGCACATGGCCCCGGCTTTAAGGCTGCTGCTGGCTGCTGGGCTCCGGCTGGAAGGGCAGGGATTTGGGGCGGGCGGGACACGCGTGGGGGGCGCGGGGGAGCTCTGGGAGGTGGGCCCTGGGAATGGCTGCCCGCGCTGCTCTGCAGCCCCGCCGTGCCGACCCTGCCGAGTGCCGGCTGGATTCTTTGGGTGCTTCTGGGCTGGCGCTGGGGCGTGTCCGGGGTGAGGCATCTCAGGGGGCCCGTTCAGAGCAGCCCCCGGCTGAGGAGCCGCAGGCAGTCCTTTCCCCGTGCCCACCCCGGTGCCCGTGGCTGGTTCCCCCCCCTGGGATGTGCGTTTGGCAGACGAGCCCTGCTCGGGAGACAAATCCATCTTGTGCCCGATGGAAGCGCTGGCCCGGGGCTGCTCCATCCCTGCTGCCAGGAGCTGTGCTGGGAGTCCTGCGGCTGCGGGCGGGATAGCCTGAGCTCCGGACGCTCCGGAGCGCCGGGAGCCCCGGCAGGGCAGTGCAGGGCACAGCTCCTCCATCCCCTGGCAATAGGAAGCCCAAGCAGGGCTGGGTCACTCTCTGTCGCTCCGGCCTCCTCCCGGCCCGCGTTCCCTGCCCACTTGGGACTGCCCAGGAAGCCCCGAGAACGTTCCTGGCGGGAAGCGGGAGCCGCCGAGGGCTCCGTCCAACTCCGGGCCCGAAAAGCGGCCCCGACCTGAACCCCCCCCGGCATTTTGGGTTCCGAAGGCTCACCTGGAGGAGACGCCCCCCCGCGGGACCAGGCGGCGACACTCGACCGACGCCTTTGCCTTGGAGCGAGGGATCCCTCCCGACTCGGTTGGCTCCTTTATCCCTGGAAATGAGCTCGGTTGTCGCACGAGCACCTTTGCAGCCATTGGGTGAATCCCGGACAGGGCCGGAAAACCTCCCTGAGCAGGGCAGCGATGAATTGGTGCCCGTCCCCAGCCGGGCACAGCCCAGCCGGCCCCGCTCCCTCCGGCCCGTGGCTGGGAAGGGGGGATTTAATGCTGCAGAGATTTAATAAAAGCGGATTTCCTGACTGTATTTGCCTGCGCTTCTTCCCTCCTTTGACTCGCGCGGCACCGTCCGGTTGGAGCGTTTCTTGGTTTCCTCTGCTGTAGCCGTTTCC